CAAGCTTTCCTCCGCATCACGCAGGTCTGGTCACACACACTCCGGCGTGTTGTATCTACGCTTGTATCAGGTAAGTTGATAAACGCAGCTCTCGTTTAACCGATCCCACCGAAACATGGCGCTAAGATTAGCTTGAGTTAATGGCACTGAACAGTTTCCGGTAAGAACTCTACTTTCTGTCATATTGGCGTTACCGTTAGTTAGCACACGCTAGCCCGAGAGCTAACAGCTAATAACATGGTGCAGGCCGAGAGGGCCGCTTTTGTTCTTGTGTCTGGGCGCGGTGGTGAGCGCCTGCAGGCCCCGCACCCGGTCTGAGACAAACGAGGCCCCTCATTACTAATTCATCACGTCCTCTGTGGACTCTTCTACAGCCACCGATGCACCTCAACATCAGAAATGTGTTCTAATGGAAGTACGTGGCGCTAAAGCTCCTCATTGTTGTGTTGCTAGCTCCCTGAGAGCGATCCACCGGGTTCGCGCTTTTTGTTAAGTGGTCGTCAAAGACTTTGTGTTTGGGGAAAAGCGGGGAATTGGCTATTTGAGACAATTTCTTTTGTTTTCTTCTCCCACACCACATGTTTCGCTCTCGCCCGGATAATTCAGTAAACTGGAGTTTCTTTAGATTTCATACTTACCGGTTTGCCCAATGAACGGGCCTCAAGATGGCGCTGCCAACAAATTCACATGCTCCGAACATCACGTCCACGGTGCAGACTCGAGAGACAATTGTGATCGCTCAAAACCGTGACCCCATTTTACCTTACCGAGAGAAGATGGCGTTTAAATCAGCATCAGGATATGTGGAGCTATGAAACTGCTTTTAGGGCCACTGCCTATTTTCACCAGTGTGGCTCACATGCAGAGAACCTGGAGAAATGTAGGCCAATGTTTCCCCAATGTTCAGTGTTTGGGGACTCGACGTGCATCAGATGGGAGTATTGGGTGTATTTAGAAATCACTTATTGCTGGTAGATATCGTTGTGAAGCTGCGAAGACCATCACTGTGGCAAGAAGTGTTTGTTAGATGGATAGAGCCAATATTCAGGATATGAAAGCACAAGCTTATATTTGCCCGGTATTACCATGACCCAATATAGTTACACCTGTTCATTTTCCCACATGTATAATAATCTTGTGTTTCTCTTCAGGGATTGCGACCAGTCATGGCAGATGAAGGATACGTCGTACGCATCAGGGGTCTCCCTTGGTCTTGCTCAGTGGACGAAGTACAGAGGTTTTTCTCAGGTGGGTGTACATATTTAAATGTAGTTTGAAGGCAAAAAAAACATTTAAAGCAACTAGAAAAGGTTTTGATAACCTTTTTATATTTGTATCTTAAAAGCAGATTGCAAGGTCATCAACAATGGAGGAGGCGGCGGCATCCACTTCACCTACACACGAGAGGGGCGTCCCAGTGGAGAGGCGTTTGTGGAGTTGGAGACAGAGGAGGACCTGAAGATTGCAGTGAAGAAAGACAGAGAAACTATGGGTCACAGATACGTGGAAGGTGTGTACAACTAAATACAGATAAATCCTTTGCAATGACTGTTTAGCTGTGTTAACTGATTGCATTGTGTCCTGTGATATAGTGTTTAAATCCAACAACGTTGAGATGGACTGGGTTATGAAGCACACAGGGCCAAACTGTCCAGAAACGGCAGGAGATGGGCTCGTTCGGCTCCGAGGTCTTCCATTTGGCTGCAGCAAAGAGGAGATAGTACAGTTTTTCTCAGGTAAGGTTAGGTCTCGTTCAGCGATTCATTTTAAACGTCCTCAAAGTAATTTCGGCGGTTTAAACTTTTTATTTGTTTGTTTTCCATCTGCCGTTTCCTTTCTCGTACGTACACGAACTCTTGCTCTGATTTACACAGAAGTCGATATACCATCGGAGAATGATTATTACCTACTGTGTATTCTGTATTTTTACATTATAGAATAATAAAAAATGATATATGTCCTTGGATTGGTGATCAGTGAGGAAATTACACCGGAAAAGGAAAGCAGTTAAAATTTAATTGAAGAAATCTGAATACTTAGTGTTTTTTCAAGGGGGGAATCTTTTATGCAAACACCCTTTTCCTATCTATGCCCATCATAACCACCTTGAACCCACTTTCATCACATTTTTTCTTTAAATGGGTCTGAGCTACATTTTAAGTTGTCTATGCCTAATGGTAATTTACTAATGATGGAATGGGTCCCACTCATCACTGATATGAAAGTCTCTTACCCCATTGTTTGTTCTTCCCCATTTCCTCACACCCTTGTCTTTTTAAGGCATTTTTCAAATGTTAGATAAGCACCCGATGGGCGAACAGTAATCAAACTCATGTCACCCACCAGGATCTTGTTTTCTCCTCATCAACACACCAATACTACCCTGATCTTCTACACAGTGCCCTTTTCCATATTTCTTCCTCTATCCTCTCATTTCTATTTACCCCAAAATCCAGTAAAATGTAAGTTGTTGAAATGGCCAGTCACTGGTTTAAATTGAACTGGTATGTGTGATGATGTGTAGAGTTTTCCATAAGTTTGATATCTCTTTCTTTAGAGAAACTTCTCTCTGTGATTGGGAATGTGATTTAATATGTCCCCTGCTGGGGTTATCTGTCCTTGGGTTGAAGGGTTGGAAATCGTGCCAAATGGGATAACATTGCCGGTGGACATCCAGGGGAGGAGTACGGGGGAGGCCTTCGTGCAGTTTGCTTCACAGGATATAGCTGAAAAGGCTCTAAAGAAACACAAGGAAAGAATAGGGCACAGGTGGGGATGGTTGGTTGGTTGGCTGGATAAGTTGCTTTTCTTATGGTGTGCACCTTCAACATCAAAACCAAATGCAAATCTGACATATTAATCTTGGCTTATTCAAACATATATGTATAATTTACCACAAAACGCATACACTTATTGCCATGTTAGTTCCAACTAGACCACACATTCACAATGTCAAGTGGGAACATTAGCGTGCTTGGGCACCATTTATATTTTATATATGTATATTTTAAAAAGTCATCCTCAATTGGAGTACATGTTTAATTTTGAGAACATATGATGTCTCCGCACTAAACATGGGTCCAGGCTGATAAATGGTAAGGAGTCTCCCTGGTGGTAAAATCAGAGGGCTACTGTACACAAGGATCTGGGGCCCACTGTCACAGGTAATGCTCAGAGTGGGTTGCAGAAGGGCTGATGTCCTCTCTACCCCTCTAAAATCAGTACAATGGCTGTCATGGCAAGGACACAGGATGCTCTTTTACAATACACTGAATCAGATCTCTAAGTCGCTTCAGGTAACCATAAGAAAAGTGTGAAAGTCATTTAGGCCCATATGAATTTGAACAGCTTCCCTTTTTCAAATCAGTAAAGTAGTTGATTCATTGAATCAATTTAATAAATAAGGTGCATTAAATACTCAAAAGATATTACCACCTATGGACTACACCATGACAGCATCTAAATAGCCCAGTTTCATCAGTATTGAGCAGATGCACTGTCGATCCATTCTACATGCCCTAACTGTGGTGTTTCTATGCTCTTAGGTACATTGAGATCTTCAAGAGTAGCCGCGCTGAGGTGCGGACCCACTATGAACCCCAGCGAAAGCCAATGGGCATGCAGAGACCTGGCCCCTATGATCGGCCTTCAGGTGGTCGTGGCTACAACATGATGGGCCGAGGGGGATCTTATGACAGAATGCGTCGTGGAGGATATGGAGGAGGTGGGTGTCAAAATCAGATCTAGTGATCAATTTACCTGTGCTCTCGTTTTAAATTACCCTTAGTACCTTCACGCTAACTCTGCACAACAGAAACAAGATTAGGATGTATAGTCCCCATAATACCTTGTGTTAATCTCCCGGCTGTTTATCCAGGTGTATCGGACGGACGGTATGGAGATGGCGGCTCTTCCTTCCAGAGCACAACAGGTCATTGTGTCCACATGAGGGGCCTACCATACAGAGCCACAGAGACAGACATCTACAATGTAAGACAAAAGACTCATTACTAAACAGATGAACTGCTCAATTCCAATCTACTCGATGAATGCTGCAGGTGTACACCAATTTAACACGAGTTAATCCTTCGTTATGTTTGCATTTCTTAGTTCTTCTCACCATTGAATCCTGTGCGGGTCCATATTGAGATCGGACCAGACGGCAGAGTAACCGGGGAGGCAGATGTAGAGTTCGCGACACACGAGGATGCCGTGGCAGCTATGTCCAAAGACAAAGCAAACATGCGTGAGTTGCAAATGAGTTTCTTTACCACTTGAACTCTGTATAGATGTACTGTATTTGTTCAGTGTCACTCACTCCCCCCCTCTGCCCCTCAGAGCACCGCTATGTGGAGCTGTTTTTGAACTCAACAGCAGGTGGCAGTAATGGAGCTTATGGCAGCCAGATGATGGGTGGCATGGGTGAGTATTGGCTTCAAAGGTCTTGAAAATACCGGCCCCTGTTATTTTTTAGTTTCTCTGTTTGCTCAGGCAAGAAAGAGCACACATCTGAATAAAACAACACAAGTACATTTCCTAGTGACTTAATGTCCCTTTACACCTGATGTGATTTTTCCTCCCCACAGGTAACCAGTCGTCTTACAGCAGTGGCCAGCTGAGCTCAGGGTACTCTGGGGGATACAGCAGCCAAGGAAACATGGGCGGTTACAATGACTATAGTGAGTGTCAGCTCTGTTACAATAAGATTCTTCAGCATTCACCCTGAACCACAACCTTTCCTGCTCTTAAGTATTAATAATGTAATAGCAACAAGGCCTGGGCAGGTTTTTATCCAAAGAAAGAAGTGCAGCATTTAGTTTGTTCTTGAACTCCCCGGTCCTATGGTATGTATTCTCTTTCTCTTGTTAGGTAACCAGGGCGGAATGGGAAGCAGTTACTACGGCAGCAGCGGAGGAGGAGGAAGCAGAGGCTCCATGAATGGACTGGGTGGGGGATGGGGAATGTAGAATTTTTTTTCTCCCCCATTATTTGATGTTTTCTTTTTATCTCAGCATTTTGCTGGAAGGACTGGAAATGTAAGCCTCACTATTAAAACGCTAGGGTCAGGTGAGGATGTTTTGAAAATACTGAGTGGTAGGCTTTGTATTTGTTTTTTTAAAGTGGATGATCTTCAGAACGTGGGATCATCTGGTGTCTCAAGTTTTTCAGAAGCGCTGTTTGTCTTCCCCAATACTCAGTTTTCCACACATCACAGAAAATCTGCTTTAAAATTTTGATACCAGGAAATGTGTTATCTTTGTGTTTATTCACCCAACACCTGGCTTTTCCTCAAGGTTAACTCATCCTTTCCCAGTGGCTTTAACCTAATTTTCAATGTCTGAGTGCATGAACAAAAAAATATCTTCTGGTATCTTATGTTTTGACCTCGTTTCATCTTCTAGCTTTTTATTTCCAGTTAAAGTGTTAATCTGAATTTGAGACTTCACATGGTCAGAGCATGTTTTGTTTTCTAAAGGTGTGACTGTTGATGGAGCAGTTTTTCTGGATGAGGGCTGTATCAACAGCAAGTGAATTTAAAATCTGCTGACATGTAGGTTTCTACTGCTTCAAATGCTATTTGTATTTCCTGTGCACAACGTGAATAAACTAGTCTGGAATATCTAATTGAAACACGCATTGCAAAAAAGGAGGTTTTATTCATTTTTATCAAATGTCTAGATATAAAATTTGGTCACCATTCCCCAAATTAAGAAAATGGCTTTGCATCAGTCTTGACAATCCACAAAACCTTGTTATAATACATTCTAAAATATTTGATTTAGATTTGTTAACATTCTACAGTCATTTACATAATTCTGCAGGTGTCACTCAGTGAGGTCACAGCCATAGAAATGACATGTTGAAGTACACAAGTTCTCTGTAAACCAGCTACACCAATGATCCTCTACAAAAGCAGAAAACCAGCAGTATCCTTCAAAAGACGACAAGATGATCTACCTCCACTTTGAACAACTACACGCTTTAAATACGTTTATCAAGTGAGTGCCAATTTGTCAAACCTGTTATTCCAGCCAGAAAAAAATAATAATGACAAACTATATCATCCTCAGCAAAACCAAGCCTGCACAAACTACATTAGCGCATTCTATCAGTGTTAAAGGTGGCCCCGATGAAACAAGCTGTTTTCAGACAACCACTGGACTTGAAATTGAAATTTCCAAATGAGCTGTATGTGAGAATGCAAATGTTTGAGTCGGTTGCTTTGGACATTTTCCAGAACCTTTCCTGCCAGCCCCTGGTGAAATGTCCAAGTGAGCTTATGTGAGAATACAGCAGGAAAATGTCCAGACAATGCACTGGGAGCGATGAACACAACTGAAAAAAACTAAATAGAAATATCTCAGGATAAAAAAAGACAAGCCATACATGAAGACGCACAAGAAATCAGCTTTGAAAGACAACATTCGCCAGTGTTGATTAGCAGTGAACTAAAACATTTTGCATGTTTATGTCCTGCCTCATTCATGCTCTACCCAATCTATCTCCAGCTGCGTTCTCCGTATGTGAGACGAACCTCGTGTCTGAAAACAGCTCGACAGAATCATACTGAATTTCAGGTAGTGGTGGAAAAGGAACGCCATATCCAGTTTCCTAAACATTTGATGACAGTGTTTAAATATACATAATTTAAAAACTCATAGTGGATGGGCATGTGCAGTGTTGGTCAGTCGAAACACTCTTGGCTACACTTGACGCTCGTAGGTGTTTGTCAGGAGCCCTTGGAGCTTCTCTGTAGCAGGAGGGAGTGGCACACGTCGCACACCCGCACAGGCCGAGGGTAGGAAGGTAAGGCCAGTTCGTTGCTGGAGCAGTTGCTGCAGTAAATGTCCCCGCAGTTTCTGCAGTGGTGCTGCAAACACAAATGTACATCAGTAATTTGAAATGACTGGTGGTCTATAACGCGTAAATGAGATGCACTGAAAGAGAAGCCTACCTTTCTGCGTGAGATGGAGAACTCCTTCAGGCACTGTTTGCATTGAGTGGCTTCATCATCTTTCAGCCAAGCATGGCCCTGATGGAAGCAATGGAAATACAAGACAAGGTTTGCCATGATGTTTTCAGATCCTCCAGAATCAATAAACCCTCCACATGTTCACATTTTACCTTCAGGGCTTTGTTGACCTCCTTGAAGTCCTCCATCTTAAGTTTAGACCTTTGAGGCAGATGAATACAACGTAAGAAAATGAAATGACACTGACCAATAAACATGAAGGTGAGGTCCAAAGCACTGACTGGCTGAGATGTAGTCCCATCTCCTGTAGAGCCTGTTCCTGTTGCACACACGTCTGCTGCAGCTGCTGCTTCTCCTGCTTCAACTCCTGCAGCTCCTGCATCATCATCCACAGGAAATAAAGCATATCATCACAGTACTACATGGATTTTTGAAGTATTAGCTCAGATTTGGATTTTAAAAAAAACCTAAATAACATAAACAATGTTTTTCTCAGGCTGTTGCACCACTTTAACTAAGGCAGTATTTAAAACAAATTAGCAGGTTTGAGATGGAAACCAAAAATTAAAAATGAACCTGGCATCTAGGGCAAAAGAAGACTACTGTATGGGGACACTTGAACTGCATATGAACTTTTCAGTTCAGTATAAAAACGTTATAATTTCTAAAGAATCCACCTCCAGCCATAACTGACACCAACCCTGGTGTGTGAGACACTGACCGTGTGCAGGCCCTGCAGTTGTTGCAGCTGTGTGCGGAGCTCCATGCTGTTGTCCTGTTCCCTCTGCAGAGCTTTTTGCAAACCTTGTCTCTGTTCCCTCTCAGTGCGCAGCTCCTTCTCTAACCCCAGTCTGTGCATAGAACAGGACATTGTGACATAAGTTCAGCATACAAAGACTAAACACAACCCATTTACTAAAAGACCAATTTAAAGATGGTTGGTTTAGAGAACTGCATTTGATTTATTCAAGTAAAACAATTTAACTTCACTGGTAGACACACAAATATGGCGTTCAGTAACTTGCCCAAAAACATATAGGCATGTGAACAGGTGGAGCCAGGGATTGAAACACAGACCTTCTGGTTAGTGGACTGGTTTTCTAAATATGTTCATATTGTGAAAACAATTGGGGCTTGTTGCACTTTGCAGACCTGTACAATTGTTGTATGTGAAGAAGTGTGTCACAGTTTGACCTGGGAAGTGAAATTCCTTCATTTCTGCATTTAAGATGGTACAGACAGTTACTTGTTACTCTTGGAGCTTAAAGTTTTATTTATCTTTTAATTAACATGTGAGCTCAGCTCATTAATAACTACTCATAAGCTGCCAAGTCAATTTAGCCAATTAGTACAATGCTTAAAATCTCATCTTCAGCATTGGCAGGCTTTTCCTTTATTTCACGTACAGTGGATATTTGTAGTAATGTTATTACACTGTATAATACTTCATATTTTTTAGTTTGTGTGTTTATGCCCCATAAACCTTTGCCTCTTAACCTTAGTGTATCCAGGTCAGTCAGCTGTTTCTGGAGACCATCTACTTTTTCCTCCAGCTCCACTCGCATGTCTTTGTCTGACTGGTCGCTCTGTTTGCGCTTCTGCTCCGAGTTCTGAAGTCTGTGGCCCCCAAAAGACCAAAAAGCAGAAAATTAGTCTAAGAAAATGTCATTATAAACACACAGAAAGTCACATGCACACACACACATACCTCTGCTCTAGTTCCATCATTGCTTTCTCCATTTCATTCATCCTCTGCTCCAGCTGCACAGCCTCCGCCTGCTTCTTTTCTGCTTCTCGTTGCGAGTCCTTAAAAGTCACATCAGCTGAATAAACATGTGTCCTGTCTGAGTGGATGTACGAGAGAGAGAGAGGTGCGTGCACATGTGTCTACCTGAGCTTTGTGGACCATCTGCAGGTTAAGCGTCTTGACCTGGTCGAGCTGGAGTCGCAGGGCTGCCAGCGCGTCCTGTTTCTCATGTGTGTCCTTCTCCAGCAATTTCATGGCCACCTCCATCTCCTGCTTCAACCCCACCTGCAGCTCCAGCTCACGCTCCAGCTCCTAACATAACACGTTGCCGGGCACACAAAACGAAATGAGTATAATTCACTTCTGCAGTCTGGTAAACCTCTGTTGACAAAGCACTGAAGCTGCTTTAAGACATTGATGTCCAGACATTTTCATGAAATTTTCCAAAGGGGCTGTATGTGAGAATGCAAAAGCCCAAGTCAGTTGGTCCAGATATTTTTCTAAACTTTTCCTGCCAGCCTCCTGGTAAAATGTCGAGAAAATTCACACGCAAAATTGAAAAAAAATGTAAAGAATAAAAACATCCCAGGAAGAAAAAGAGGTGTCATCCACATAGAAGACACTGATGACCATGTCAAATCGGAATGATAATGAAATTTGCGAGGTATTGAGGATAAGGGATGACCCTCTGGCTGGAAAAATTGCTTCAAGTCCTGTCTCATGCTCAACAAGTATCTCACCACATCCTCTGAAGAAGCAACACAGAACAGCTGGGTTACTTTATATTAACACATATATGTTATATTCTAATCCGCTAGCTGTTGAAAACTGACCTGGCGAATGTGTTTTTCCTCCTTATACTGCTTCCACACCACATTATACATCTCATCCAGGCCCTGTCGCGTCTGTTTGTATGTCTCCAGCTCCACCTGGCTGTCCTGAAGAGCTGCCTGAAAAGGCAAATCAGAAAAGAATGCAACTTCCATCTTGTGTGTTATTTATTTGTGGAGTGGTTTAGCTTCAGTTCATTTTTAGACCTCTTCCTTTTTCTGGCTGGACTGCAGGATTGACTCATTCTCTTTTCTCAGCTGCTCCTGTTCCTCCCGCAGAGAGTTGATTCTGTCCGTCGCTGCCGTCAGCTGAGGGAAAGAAAAACAAACGCTCGTCACTCAGGTGAAAGACACACAATCCAGATCACACAGCCGCTGCATTTACAAGAAACCACACCACTGTTTGCACACAGTTCCTCTGACCTCTTCCACAAGTTTGCTGTTGGTCTTCTCTATAGAGTCCATCTTAGCCTGAAGATCAGTGACGGTGCCGCTTAGGTTACGATTCAACTCCTCAATGTAGTGCTTCTGATCTAATATGGCTGTCATCTTCACATCACTAACAGAGAGAGATTAAGAAGTTGAGGTGGCGGGGGGGTTGGCTGATCAGGATTAGGTTTGTTTGAAATGATTATCATGCTAGAGTCGTTCAGAATATGAAGAAACACAGTGTGGGTAAGATGCTCAGTCCACTCACTCTTTTTGAGTCTCACTGTTGGCTGGATCTTTCAGGTAAAGGGAGAAATCAATGACTCCCACCTAAATGGGAAAGAGAAACCGTTCATTGTGTACCCAGATCAACTTGTTTCTGGAAGAGTAGATGAGGTGTTGGGCTGCTGCGATGTGTCGGCCCACAAATCCTGCCAGCACTCACCTGAGAATCAAGATCCTCCCCTTTAATACAGAGATTTGCATCAATTACGTTGAGGCCCACCAGCAGTCCCCCAATGACCGCCCCCTCCTCCTCCATCATCAACGCTCCAGAGTCATAAAACTCACTAGAAGATGGAAAAACAGACATGGAATAATCTGAATAATCTTGCAGTAAATGCAAAATGTGTCGAAGGCCCTGTTCCCACCTGGTATTAACCCTTCATGAGAGATCTGCTGACAAGGTGTGTGTGTGTGTGTGTGTGTGTGTGTGTGTGAGCACGGGAGAGATAAAGTGAGCCTGCGAGTGGGGTCAAGAGGAACTGAATGAATCAATGCGCACAACTGAGACAAAGGATTTCACCAATTCAAGAACAGTATCTATCATCTATATATCTGTGGCTGAAAACAAATCGACATGTGCTTAGCGTTGAGTACTTGTGATCAGATCATTTAGAACAGATAATTAAGTTAATAGCAGGTCTGAACTGGGTCTGACTAACCTCAGGAGGTCCTTGCGGTCCAGCAAAGCTTTCATATAGTCGGCTACTTTCTTCTGCATGAGTGCCAAATGCAGCCAAGCCCTTCCTCTACCCAAACCAGTCCTGAAAGAGAACAAAATAAATATTGGTATTATATATAACAAGTGTTAAGCATATACCTCACATTGTAGGCTTACTGTACAACTGTGTGCAGTAGCATACTTAATGCTGGGCATGTCTCGAGCACTTGTGGCAATGTTAATGGACTCTGGACACAACTTCTCAACCAGTTCCAAGGGTCCCCATATGGACTTGTTCTGACCAATGAAAGTTTTCTTGGCTGAAAAAGAAACAGGAAAGGTCAAATTTGAATGCTCCCATTGTCTTGTCAAGCCAAGATCATTTATATAGCACATTTAAAAATCACTGATTGGTAAAAGAAGACACAATGCAAAACACAAAACAGAACGACACAACATTAACAAGCATAAAATGAAATTAAAAGGCTATGATGTGGATCAGGAGAACATGAGAATTTTTCTGTTTGGTCTTAAAGATGTCGACAGAAGGGAACCACTAAACAGATTACTGTTCCAAAGCTTTGGTGGCACCTACTGCGAACGCACGATCAATATTACCCAACCCCATATTGTGACATAACATTAAATATAAATGAATTGTGTTCCATGGACTGTCTCACCTTTCAGGCCGTGTTTGAGGCAATGCTCGAGGACGACAAAGAACTGCTGCAGAGGAGGGTACTCTGAGTCCAGCGTCCTGCCCAGACTCAAGGAGGACTGAATCAACACTTTGATGCTCAGCTTCATCATGCTGAGGAGGTTGGATCTCTCTATGGCCGTGGGGTCTTTGGGGGGCAGGACTGGAACAGATGCAATGTAACTGGGATCAGTCAAACAAATGCAAAACATGGTGGGGATATCAGAGAGAACTCATAAACACTGCAAGATGTGGAAAACACGAAGCGTGTGACCACAACCCGTAAAATCACTGTTTCGCTCACGAGGTCACATGTCCTGACAGCTGACAGCACAGGCTGAGAGACAGTCACAGAGATGGACTGTTTCAAAACTTTGATTCAGTGGAAAGTGCTAGCTTGGGTGTCAAATGTTACAAAACAGTCGCAGCCTACCAGGACGTTTTTTGGAAGTGTTGCTGAGGCCATTTTCGGGCTCCTTCTCGGTCGGGGAGCTGGCGGCGGACCCCAGTGAATGACTCCTCGGGCCAGCAGCGTAGCTCACCCCGCTGCTAATCGTCTCCGTGGCCTTCCGAGCCAGTGACAGGATGGGGGCTGACCAGGCGCTCTCTGCCGCCGCCGGAGTCGGCTTCTCCATCGGGCCCAGCGCGTCGCTGCCGCCCGAGCCGCCGTCGGTCGCCGCCGCAGAGGCTTGGGGCTCGTGTAGCTGTTGATCAGCGTCATCGTCCCCTGCAGCTGTGTTTACTTCCTCTGCCTCGTCGGCCATGTTTGTGCCCCCTCCCCTCCGCCCCACTGCTCATGTGACCACAGGAGACCAATCAGGCGCGCCGTTAGAGCTTAATTCTTCCTCTGTGGGTTTTTGGCTTTTGGCGGTTAGTCAGTTAGGGTAGGAGTTTGTTACCGCCACCTACTGGACATATGTATTCACCTCCGCCAAGGAGGTCAAGCTTTCTCTGTTCTGTCTGTAAATGAGCAGAATTAGGCGAAAACCATCGGACTGATTCCAACCAAATTTAGAAGAAAGATGCAACATAGATCAAGATTTAGTTTAAGATTAAGAGATATGGGGTTTTCTTATGTTTAGAGGACCGATATTTATGAATGTGTCTGGATCTAACTGACTTTAATGAATATGAATGTGGTTTCATAAGTTGCATGCACTCTACTGGGTGCCCTTCTAGTTTTCTTTAGTATTAATTTAACATATTACACATTTTTCATGCTGAATTTACATATGATTCCATCCATCCACATCTATACAGTTTATCTTATTTGAGGGTGGGATACATTCTGGACAGGTCACCAGCTCACCGGGGGTCCAAATACAGAGACAAACCACTTCTCACTCTCACATTCACGGCTACTGCAATTTAGACTTTCAAGTCAACCCGGAGAAAACCCACACAGACACACGGAGAAGGTGCAAACTTATCAAAGAAACATCTGTGTCTTAGGATCCGGACACCTAACACTGTAGATGTCAGTAAAAGATAAAATTGGTCCATAAAAGTGGTGCTTTGTGAAGCTCCAACAAAAATAACAACAGCATATTTCAATTCAGCCAAAAAGCAGGACACACATTTTAAAGTTGTGTAATGGAAAACTTGCATATGGCCTTAGCTTAAACTCTTTCCTATGTCTGATCAATGCTTGTGTGCTGTGGTCAACAGTAACTCATATAGAAACACAATTGTGCTCGAATAAGAGGAACTGTTTGGCGTACGTGCAGACGGACAATTCAAAACTAGACAGACACCTTTTACATTTTTACCCTTAACTATCCAAAGCCCTGACTCTTGCTATGCACTTGGCAGATGTAACCTCAGAGTTCATGTCCTTTCTTGATGATGATCCTCTTGTTGACCCTGATCCGTACAGTAGCAAACCTCTTCTTTCATGCAGAAGTAAGAGCAGACAGCTTCCTGTGTTAACCAGAATAGAGGTTGCAATGCCGTACTTACATCTCACCACCAAGTTGTTTCACTACTAAATCGTCAGTGTTAAAAGAAACAGCTTGGTGAGATAAGGGATCTATGGGTTTTTGCACAGATTAGAATGAGCTTTAGAGGTGCTGGTAAATGTTTTGCTTGCAATGATTTCTCAGCAAAGAAAAAGTTCTGACAGCAAAGCTCCTGTTCAGTTGTTTTATGCCATGTGTAGTCTCTATCATTAAGCTTTCTTGGTGTAAACAGTGCGTCACAGCAACAATGTGCTGGATATGTCCTTTAAGTTGGGGGGGAGAGCTGGAGGAACAGAATCATGGGAGATGATTAAAGTTGGTGGGTAGTGCGCACAGGCCTCGTGGCAGCCGACATTGCACATTCAGACATTAGAGTGTGGATCAGGTGGCTGAGTTTAAACTTTCCTGGTTGGTATATTTTGAAGGTTTATTCTGTGCCACAATCGATTCTGATTTGTTTGAAGTATGGTGGTATATTCCCACAGTCATTTGGTTTTGAAAAAGACATTGGTCAGTTTCTGTGAGCTTTTGTTGTTGTTGTGGTGTTGGCTCTAAAAGAATGGCCGTGATTTCTTTTTTTGAGTTTTTCCCCCTGCTTGGTTTTAGACAGTGGAATCTATTGAGGGAGTCCGTTGTTTCAATTATAGTTTGGTGGTTAACGTGGGTCGAGCATACTGCCTTGTTTTAAACAGTTGACTTCCCACCCTACTGAGTTAAAGGTCTAACACTATACCCCACAATTAGCCTCCCGAAGACTGGGGTTCACTTTGGTAGTTTTTGGTGGGATAGATCAGGGATTGATCTACAGTTTTTGCCGTTCTTGAGCTGAACCTGTTGCATGTTTGACCTCTACTGGCTGGTAAGTAACTTTAAAATTAGGAGCTCTAAAGCTGATTTTATTCAGACTCCTTCAGTGGATTAAATAGAACAGTTTACAAATGATCAGTTAACAAATGTTTGGCGGAAAAAACAAAACATTTGTGAAAATGTGACAAATCAGGATGTGATTTTTCCTGCAGTGACGTTTCAACAAAAACAACAAAAGGAACACAACAAAATGATACAACATAAGTAAATGGAATGGGAGATGATGAAACAAACACATGAACTAGAGCAATATAATCGCAGCTGATCTGTGAGGGAAGAACAGACTGATCAGACAGCCCAAGTTCTTTCACAGAGCTTTACCAGTGTCATACATTTTCTGTTTACAGGAGAATCCTTTTATGCTAATTTATATGTGAGATTATGTGTTGTAGGTTATAGATTTATTAATTTAATATTAAATTGTATAATCTTATTTATTGACCACCCATCTTCTCTCTTTCACCACGTGGTGGCGCACACAAGCTGTACTATCCCTTCTAATGGACCTTCTCACAAGACGCTTCAATCCAGTTTAGTGCAGTTATCACTATAGTCTGGTTGTATGGTTGTGTCTATCCAGTCACTAACAAAAATAACTTTTTTGAATAATATCTCACATCCTCAGGATTTAAAAAAAGGACTGGAGCAATAATAATATGATAATATGATCAAATGTATCTTTATAGAACTTTTCTAGATAAACTTATAAAGTACTTCACAAGAAGAACAAATGAGATGAACCGAACAGTAATCACAACCACAGAAAGATGATCATATATCATAATAGGTTAAAGCTTTAAGAAGAGGATGGGGACAGATGAACAAGCAACAGCTCCACAGAAGGTAGTACACACACGCAAACACACACACACACACGCACACACACACACACACACACACACACACACACACACACACACACGCACACACACCCACCCACTCTCGCACACACACACAGTGGGCGTGGTGAAGTGATGTGCCCATAAATACGGCGGTGCCTCTGTGCAGACGCTCTCTTCCTCGCTGCGCTCCTCTGTCTCTCTCCCTCCGAGAAGGTAACACCAAACAGACGGACTCCATTCAAACCAACACACCGAGAAAAAGACCCAAAACACGGGAGGAGGAATATTCAGAGCCGGAACAGGTGGAAGGAATACAACGTGTTGATCTCTTTTTCTTTTAAAAGCAACAAAAAAAAAAGTGACTGGAAGTTTTCCTGGGGAGGGAATGATGAGGATTTTCAGCGCCGCGCTCCTGATGCTCGTTCACGCCTTGGGTAAGTTTCACGTGCGCTCAGATAACAAGTGTGTTTATTTGTGTGTTGACTGGGATCAGGATCATGTGTGGTGTTTTCTGTGAATACCGGAGTTACGCCGTCACCTCCGGGGTTTTTTTAAGACGCAATAATCCTCTGGGGGTTTATAACGCGTCTTCTCAAACTTCGGAGCGGAGCTTTTCATGATGCCAGGCTATTCAGGAGCTAATGGGGTCATCTCTCTTATTTTAGAGCATGCTTTATGTAACTGGATACATTTATTTTTAACTCATATTCTTGCCTGACATTAGCTAACTGTCTGTCCATGCATTTTGTGTGCGTGTGTGTATGAGACAGTGAGGGCATATGCCAACTTTTATTTGCCTCCCCTCCTCATTCCATACCTCCCACCTAAATCATCCCACCTTCTTGGCCACTTTCCACTCTACATAAGTGCTCTTGAGCAAGGCATCAAACCCTGAAGACCATCATGCCTTGCATCTTTGCATTTCCCAACAGGGCTCAGGCAGGATTGCACTTCCAAACCCACAACTCTGGCCTGCACGCTGCTCTCTAGTGCACAACATGTTTCAACTTGCCCATAGAGGTCCGCCCACCTTCTGGCACAGTATCCTGTGCTCACGGACTCCTCTCTGTAGAGGGAGACGAGTGTCTTGGGTGTTTTTAAAGTCTGAGCTGTTAAACCAAACTCACCTGCAGATTTTTAACATTTCCTAACACTCGCTCTCTCTCTCTTTCCCCTCCAGCGGTGTCCAGGCCGACCAGTGGTGCTGCCGTTGACAGGTATGAGAGTGACAGGCAGCGGCACACCGCCGTCATCAACTTTATGGACACGACCAAAGACAGAAGGGCAGAGGATGAGAGCAGAAGCACCACAACGATGGAGTATGGCCAGCGAGGCGAGGAAGAGGAGTACGACGATGAATACTACTATGGAGACGAGTATGAAGATGGCATGTCTGGAGACTATGACATGGAGCTGCCACGAGGTAAAGGCAGTCACTTGCTTCTTTTTTGTCGTCATTTTCTCACATTTTTCACGCAGACCATGACATGTAACTCTGCTTTTGCTCCGTTTTTTTGGTTACAGTTGCCATGTCGAGCCAACCCAAAGACCCGTCTGCCATCCTGGAGACTGAGAGCACAGAAGGAAAGAGGAGGAGAGGAAAGGGAAGAAAGAGGGCGAAAGGCAAGGGAAGGAAGAGGAACCCGTGCCTGAAGAAGTACAAGGATTTCTGCATTCATGGGGTCTGCCAGTTCCTGAGGGAAGTGCGTGAAGCATCTTGTGTGTAAGTATCGGCTCTGCACCACGCCCTCCATTCAGGAATCTAACCATCCACTGAGTTATTAACCTTTTAACTCATTCCCTCTCCTCCCCCATCCGCAGGTGCCACCCAAATTACTCTGGCGAAAGGTGTCAGTTATTCACGCTGCCTGTGTATTCCCCCGAGGGCTACAACCGGACCACGGCTCTGGCTGTGGTGGCGGTGGTGCTGTCGTCCGTGTGCCTCACCATCATAGGTCTTTTATTAATGCTCAGGTGAGTAAAACACACACAAACACACCCTCACAACCATGCACATGCAGATAAAGTATGTATTCTGAATATAAGATTCTGAACACGTTCCTTTTCTCTTTCTTTCTCACAGGTTTCACAAGCGAGGGGCTTATGACGTAGAGAACGAGGAGAAGGTCAAACTTGGGTTAGCATCCAACCACTGAAGAGACAATGAGAGGTGAGTAGTCAGGAAAGGATAGGACCACAAACATCAACCAACATTTTTCTTTGCTCCTAATTACCTGAATGAAATTTGCTCATCGTCTCTTTTTGCTTTTTTTTTCATGTCAGGCAAAGATGCAGAAATTCTACCTCATAATAGAAAAGAGAAGGGAAACACGAAAGAGGAGGTCTTACAGGAAAAAAAGGAACGTACGCAAAGAAAAGGAACAGAGGGTGTTGTCTGTGTGATCCTCCACTGGACGTTCAGGTGAATGTGTCCCTGTAGACCTCAGAAGTAAAACGGGGCCGTCTGATACTGGAATACTCAATGGCCCCCAGATGATGGAGCGGAGACATGGCGAGCGTGAGGTGACGAAGACGAAGGAAGGAATGAGGGGGAGAGAAGAGGAAGGGACAAGTCTAGACTCTGTGCTGCTTCTTGACTGTGTGAAAAGTCATCTCAGACTGAACAAGAAAAGTGTTTTTCTTTTTTTTGTAACAAGCGGGAGCTCAACCTGGATTTTTTTTCCCTGCACATGTCCATCTTTTTTTGTGTACAGTAAACAATATATTTATAATTCTAATTTATTTATTTAAGCTAACTGTATTTATAGAGATTTTTAACCGCCCTCTGCAGTTTAAAAAAAATGATGTTACAGTTGTTTTTATATTCCTTATTGGACGATATTTATTTATAAACACAAAAGCAAAAAACATGGAAGCTCCTGCAGATATTAAGTATTTCATGGAAAAAGAGAGATTTTGTACAAACACCTGATTACAGACTTTAATCTTTGGCACTTAATAGATGATCAATCCTACTGTGATGAATAAATTGATCATTAAATTGATGTGATACTTTTTTAATATTCAGTGGGGTTTCAATTGAAGCGATATGCCCTGCTCACACTAACCCAGTAACACACCTGGAAACTCCTGCCAGTGTCTTAGCAGCTCCACTGTATCAGGTGGGGGGGGTTCATCGCCTTGCTCAAAGGCACAGAGGCGATGGTAATGAGCGAAGAGGGGGGAGGCCCTGCTCTGTCACTTTCCCCACTTAAAAGTATCCTGCAGGTTCGGGGATCTTCAGGCCGCATTTTGCTTAGTGTTATGAGTCGGTGTCATTACATCATGATGCAGCTTACTGGCTATGTATTGATTATAAGTAACATTAACACTGTGCACTCAGCGTATGTATTGCTAAGAAACTTTTTAAAAGGGTGTCAAGAAAATAAAATGCACTGTAGCAAGAATTTGGTATAAAATACTTTGTACTGTCATGTTGTCTTATCATCATCACCATCAGAGGAGGAGGAGAACCTCCCTCACATCCGAGTTAAGCTGTCATGGGAAAAAATGTGAATTCAAGTGTTCCACCCTTTCAAATCCTGTCCTGCAGTTTTGAAGTGATTTTTATTTATGTGATTTTTTTTTCAGAGCAAGCAAAAATAAAAAAAGATTATCTGAATTTTGGACTCTTAAACCTTCATTACTTCTCTCTGCAATGAATACCTTAATATCACACTGTGTTCTTTAGGCATTAATAGAGTGTCAGATGTAGCACTGAAAAGATCGGTTGAGTAAGGTCAGGTTTATTTTCGCTCTTTGGTTCACTTCCTGAGTTGGACAGCGTATTAATGTGATATTTTAAAATGGCCTGTCTCAATGATGATAACACTCTGTTCTTTTGGCCAGTAATAGTAAACATAATATTTTTATTTCCTGTCAGTGACGTGAGATCGGCCGCATTTAACCAAAGCACCTGTATCCTGGCTATTGGTGACGTTATGTTCACTGCTCACATGGCAAATATTTTTAGTCAGTGCTGCAGATAGCATATGGAGGAAGAAAGACTTGTTAGTTTGTTATGTTTGAATCTTTATGAGGCTGTGGAATGGGGATAACAGCATTTAATCATTGAATATATCGTTTAACAAATGATTCTTGCTAAATGACTATTACTGCAAGGCCTTTCTCATCAGAGCAAATGCTAAACGAAGACGTTATCAGTCCCATGTGTTAACAACATTATCACTGACAGATCAATCAGACTGAGAGCGGTCGGGACTCACTTACAGCTGTGTGTATGTACCAAGCCGCGTGGGACAGATGTGCGGTGTGTGGGCCCCTGAGCACCTGATATTCAGCCGCAGCGCATCATGCCACTACCACACACCATTACTCACACAGGCAACAGATGTCATGTTCAAAGACACACCACCAGCTTTAACATCTGAGACCTCAACCCTGAATGCCACAGAGTTCAGAGAGACCACATACAGCAAACACTAGCAGGACAATGCTGTCATGTATGCTGCAGGCAGCTTTAATGGGGGATAAGGAGAGTCAAAAGACCCAGCTGGACTCAAAGGCAGGCTGAGATCCAGCCAAATGTTAGTCATCCCTTGAAGTCACCTCCTACTCGGATGTTGTTACACTTTGTGAGTGTGTGTGAGCGTGTGTGTGAGGGGAAATGCGGTAGGGTAATGCTTTGGTGCTGTGTCTGTGTGGGTTAACCAAACCATTGCAAGCAAAAATCTGCAGCAAAACAGCAATGTTTACTATGTTTAATATGGGATCGTTTTCAACACTGTTTAGTGGCTTTGATTCCCATACTTTCTATATATACCGGATAACCAAGATGCTGTAGGACTCTAATGTTCACACTGGGGGATGGTAGTTGAGGGCAGATGTTCAGCTGAACCATAAGGGTGTGGTACCTGATTCAGGACCCAGCACTCCTCAAACTAGTCGTTGAGTAATTGAGAAGTGATGAGTATTTATCTTTCTCAGGGGAAAAAGGCAATGCATGAACTTTACTTACATTTGCTCACTTTGCACATTTAATAGATGAATATTTCTCTGCAATGTGAGTTGAAGCTCTTTGAGCTTCGCCTCTAAACAAATGGGATTGAAGTGATAGCTGATGGATGGATTGATGGATAGATGGAACTTAATTTGTATTAAGGAGCGATGTGATGCCAGCAGGTTTGTAAACATAAAAATACAATCTGTTGTCGAAGGCTCTTATATCTTAGGGATCTCGGGGGGGCTTGTGCACCCTGGACAGTTCACAAGTGTTGCAAGGCTGAAAAATAGAGACAAACAACAATTCACACGCACATTCACACCTATGGTCAATTTATAGTCTCAGACTGATCTAACCCTGCATGTCTTTGGAGTGTGGAAGCCTGAGTATACCCACAGGAGAACAAGCAAACTCCACACAGAAAGACCCCAAACCAGGGCTCAAACCAAGAACCTTCTTGCTGTGAGGCGACAGTGTTTACACTAGAATATCCAATGAAAACTACATTTCCCATTTTGGTGATTTTGAATTGAACTAAGTAAACCACTAAAAAGCCCACTGCGTTATCTAAAAAAGACATTGTCACTCAGCTGACCTGCTGTAATTCACATGTGAAAAGTTGATGTCTGATGAAACATACAGTGTTCTCGGAACAGCGATCATAGTTTTGACAACTGTAGTTCCTCCATAACAAATGAATGTACCGTAACCAGTTCTCCTCTTGGGTTGGTCCCCTTCATACACTGTACATATGAATGTGTGTGTATACTTTCAAAAGCACACACGAGTGCGTGTGTTTGTATGTGAGACGGGGGTTAGTCATTTACAGTAGTGGAGCCACCTAATCCCGGCCTCTCAATGTCAAGTAGCAGAGCACACAGAAATAGTGCCGTGCAGTCATGCTCACATAGCTGCTATTCCCGGGGCTGATGGCCACCAAAGAGCCAGAATGTTGTGAGAGAAGGGAGTTCGCTGTGTTCTGCTTCTCAGCGGCGTGGTGGACCACAGCCAGGAAATAATTGTCCAGCATGGTGGCCCATCATCAGGCACCAGTGCTGCACCACTCTTGAATTTACCTTGTAGGGTCAGAAAAACGGCTCAGCAGTATCTCCACATCTCCCTATCCTCTCCTCCTGAGTTTTTAACTGTTCCTAGAGAGACATGAGGAGCACATTTCCATACAACAGAATGCATTTCCTTACAGGATGAGAAAATGCATTTGGAAGTGGCATAACTAGTTGAGTGCCACACTCCCGTGGGATCTACCGGTGTGTGTATGTCGATGACCAAATTAAAGCCTACACAGAAGAGTAGCCCACTATACTGATTGCAGATACTGTATATGTGCAACATATTGTTGAGCCATTTCATCTGATTTTCTGAACCTTTAATGAAAAGATTTGAATCCATTAGCAAAGTTTACCACTCTTTCTTAATATATTGCGAAATAGATGTGAGTAATCAGATGTTTCAATGGTTGCATTGGATTGAATCAGTGTGACTTTGTTGTGAAAGGTGCTTCCTGCCCTGCTGAGGAGCAACAATGGGTAGTTTCCACACTGGTATGGAAGTGCGTACACCAACAGTTGGTAATATAATCATCATCTGAACGGATATCATCAACAGGAACACATTATTACCTGGAATTAATGAGTGTGAGGCTTAAAATATTTCATTATTCAATTGGCTGTTCCGCCAAAATAAAATGTGAATGCACGTGTGTTTCTGGTGTGTTTTCCTAACTGCCCCTTTACAGTCGAAATGAAGCACCCAAATAAACTCATACAGGGCTGACTGATGAGGTGAGGACATGGATGCAGTCATTGCCGAAAAGAAGCGTGGCAAAAAGAAGCTGCGGCGGATCAGTGACTTCACAGTCGAAGAGGACGATGCCAAGAATGAAGAGAAGGAGTGAGAGATAAGGTTGACGCGGTAACATGAGAGGGGTAACGAGGGATGAAGATAGGATGAAGAACGGGTCAAGGTGAGAACTTGTTCTTGGGAGGGTGCTGACTTGTCTTCGCCTGCATGTGGATCAAACAGATTAAAGTGTTAAAGTAAGCAGCAGTGTCATAGTCCCTGGTTTTCAGAGCTGCCACTCTTCATTCTCTGGTCCTTTACTTTGATTCGCCCCTCAGTTCCTGTGAGTTGGGCTGTTTATTCTTTATTCCTGTCAACAGTACATCCCTATCCCCTCCTCCATTTCCTCATGCTTTTCTTGTTCTTTTTCTTCCTCTTCCTTTAACTTCTGAAACTGACACATGTGCTCAGAAGTGGTCTGACCATGTGGCTACACAACTGCGTCAAATCCCCCGCAGCCAGAGAATCCCATAAAATAAGAAATATCAAATAGAAAACCTACTTTTCATTAATTCAGAGGATATTTACTTACTGACCAACACCCTTCATTTGTTAGATGAAAAACAGGTCATTCTTGACTCATGTCTGCTTTCTCCACTACTTCATCAGTCTCAACTACTTCTCTTAACCTCAAACACATGTTTCTTACACTGCTCTACCAGCAGCTACAAGGGAAATCAAAAATGTTGTTGTTGACAAAATTACCAAGGCTTTCGTCATTCAGCATTGACTTCTATACCAGGACTTTGCTGAGTTCCACCATTAAAGTAATAGTTTGACATTTAAATGTATTTGTTGTTTGTC